TGGCGGCTTCCCTGCCTGCGCTCTAGCGGCACTTCCAGCCCTTGAGGGCCATTCACCCGTGGCACGTTATTGTCCTACTAACAGAGGAGTCTTGGAGGTCTGGCCCCAGATGGATTCCCTCGCTTTCATTGCAGAACTCATGTGAAACAACAAACTGTGAAGTCTGCCTCTGGCGTTTACCTGTCATCAGCTCTTCTTAATCACCAGCCCTCGCTCTTAGCTCAAAGTGCTCTCCACAAGAGATAGTGTTACCCCCACATTACAGATGGGGAAACTGAGGCACAGAGGGGGAAGTACCAGCAGCAGACCTCGGACTAGAACACACCTTCTCTCTTAGGGAAGAAAGCACCTAGAGAGGGCTGTGCTGGTCCCATTCTTTAAGCCTGCTTTGCACTTAGCCATTTGATCGGCAGAGCTATCGCCGTTGGGGTAGTGTTTTGCTGCCACGATTCTGCTATTAAAGCCCTACTGTAGAGCATTATCCCAGTATAAAACGGCTGATGCTGGTATTGCTTATTTTGCTCCCAGAACCTGGATAAGCCAGTGGGCGTAGCCACCACAGTTAATGCAGCAGAACCGAAGCGCGCCTCTGCTGAGAGTGCCATCAGAGGTGCGCAGCAGGGTGGCTGTCTTACAGCACAGACAGACACTAGGAACTGACCTGAGAGCCCAGTCCCTCATCTCCAACCACTCACTGCCCCAGAACATCACACAAGGCCTAGGGGGGTAAAATGGCCAACGCCAACCAGAGCAGAGCTGGAATGTGAGGGCATAGGAGAAAGGAAACTGGCAGCGCCAGCTCCAGGGCCGGCTCTCACACGGCATAGGCCTGGCAGGGCTGCCGTGCCCCGAGGAACACTAGCCGCAGCTGGGGCGGGATGGCGGGGAATGCGCTGCATTGCCCGGGAGGCGAACGTGTGTGCATGAACCCAGACCACATGTCGGGACAAACCCAGAAACAGATGCTGCATCTGACCGGAAAGGAGCGGGGGTGGTTTGCATTCTCAAGAGAGAGGCAGCACGACCTAGTGGGTGGCGCCTCCATGGCACTCAGGTGAGACTTCACAGAAGAAATGGGCCAGGCTGGATCACTCTCTAGCTGGGGGTCATGGATGGTTAGAAAGGGGCTTTTAGGAAATAGGCAGGATGATAAAACACACAGCTTATGTAGCAATCAGGGCAGCTCTTGGAAGCTAAGCAGGGTCAAGCCAGGTCAGCACATGGACGGGAATCCTCCTCAGAACAACCACTGAGGGTATGTCTACACTAGCCCCCAGTTCAAACTAGGGTGGCTAATGTAGGCATTTGAACTTGTAAATGAAGCCTGCAATTTAAATATCCAGGGCTTCATTTGCATGTTCCCGGGCAGGCACCATTTTTAAATCCCCTTAGTTCGAACTGACTGCCTGCGGCTACGTGCGGCATTCAGAAGTTAATCCGAACTAAGTCCTTAGTTCGGATTAACTGTTACTCCACCTGCAACGAGGTGTAGCAGTTAATCCCAACCCAGCCTCCGGCTGTGGGCATCCAGCCCTGGCGAGGGAGGGGCTGGAGATGGCGGAAGGTAGTGACAGCAGATGGAAGGTCCCAGTTGTGCCCTCCTGCCACAGCCATCCATCCCCAGGCTCTCTTCCTCCTGCCAGAGAGCCTGAACATAACAAGCGATCTCTCTCCTGCCGTCCATCTCCAGAGGCAGACATTAACTGTCTCCCATGGCCACGTGGGAAAGTGAAGCGCTGCAGAAAGAGCCTACAGTCGAGACAGGAAAGGAGCCCCGGTGCCCAGACTCAGTCAGTAGGCATACTCCCCACTTTCCTTACACAGAGCCAGGAGTGCTAACAGCCCTTGGCAGGTCTGGGTGATCAGGGACATTACCTAGGATTTGATATGGCCTTAATCACCCTCATATCAGCACCCCACGTGCTCTCAGATTGTATCCTTCTGCCCAGCATGGGAGGTAGGGGAGATTTATCCCTGCTTGACAGGTGGGAAACAGAGGCACAGGTCAGAGTAAGTGCCTTAAGGTCACGCTGGAAGTGGGGCGAGGCCAGGAACTGCAGCCATATGTCCTGAGCCCCAGCTCAGCCCACCCTTGCTATACGCAGGCTCGCGGACAGACACACAGTGGACAGATGAGGCACCCAGCTAGAGGGTCCTTCCCCGAAGCAGCTTTACCTTCCGGGCCAGGCCTAGCGCAATGTAGCACTTCTCCCCAGGGTCCACAATCTCCACCTCAAAGTAGTGACTCCTGGTGCTCAGAGGGTGCCTGGCCTGGGCCAGTCCCACATCGATGATGCTCTTCCCCTTGCCCACGTACTCCAGGAGCTGCAGAGAACAGAGTGGAATCAGTCCCCAAGAGCAGATGCCGGCCTGGGGACCCAGCAAGCAGGAACTCCCGAGGCAGCAGCTCTCACCATTCCCAGCTAGCCAGGACCTTCCCCTCACGCAGCACCACAGAGGATGGGGTCAGTCCCTGCCCACTAGGAATGTAAAATCCCATTCAGTCAGTTAACCCGCTAAACATTATGTTTAACTGCTTAAACGGGGCAGGCATGAGGCCGCTCCAGCCAGCTGGGCCACCAGTTATCCACTGATATCCCCACTACCCACCAGGCCCACAACCCCTGAGCTGTAGAATGACACATTGTCTGCCCCAGAAAGGTCTCCCGCCAGTGCTGCCAAGCACTCTGCATTGCACAAGTGGGCCTCAGTCCTGATCCAGAGGGAAGCCTGGACTGCAGGTGTCATCTGTCCCCAGCCAGGGGCATTTTGTAGCAGGGCAGGGGGTGAAAGAGGATGTCCCTCTGCTCTCAGGCCCAGTTTAAATCTGTGGCACTAGCACCAGGTGGCGTGAATGGCTTTTGAGACTGGCTGTCCCTTTGCAGCCCTTTGGCCAAGGTCACTTATTTAGTGCTCTAGCTCTGCCTACTGGCAGGGCTTATTTGCCCAACATGGGGGGAAAGGAGGGCTCTGCCAGATTTCAGAACTCTTTCAACAGAAGAGAGTAAGGAAGTGACAAGCCAGTCAACCTGCCCGCCTGGCAAGAGGAGGTCAGGGTCAGACAGAAGAGATGTCAGGCCTTGCCCACATTGTGCAAGATAGTAGCCCCGTGTCTGCGAGTCTGTAACGCTGACACACATGGCCACGCCCCTTGGCCGTGTACATCAGCACCAAAATTTCAGCATCTAGAGGGAAGTTAAATGTTTGCTGTTTTGGGACCATTTGAAACCATGCATGCAAAGAGAATAAAATCACTTAAGTCTGCTTGTAGGAAACTTATCTTGGCAATCAGACAACAAGAATTAGTTATTAAAGACTTATCAGATGAATAAAGACTCCTCTATAAGGAAAAGCATTTACAGCCCAATGTCTGAGAGTCTGTAACACTGAAATGCTGGCTGTTCCCTCTGGGTGGCACTGTTGCCTGAAATGCTGGCTGTTGCCTCTGGGCGGCGCTGTTGCCTGAAATGCTGGCTGTTCCCTCTGGGCGGCCCGTGCTGCATGGGGAGTGCGGGGCTCAAACGGCCACTTGCTCCCTCGCGGCGGCCCGACTGAGCGGTGCAGAAGTCAGCCAGGCGCCACAGCGGGAGGGGAAGGGGGCGGGGCAGTGATGTGACGTCACCATCCCCCTCCAGGCCCAGCCCCCTGGCCTTACATAAGAACGTAAGAATGGCCGTACTGGGTCCGACCAAAAGCA